TGCCTTTCACAATATTCTGCAAAATCTTTCAATATTTTCTTCCGTCAGAAATAGGAGAGCTTCACTAGCAAAAAATCTATGTTTGACCTCTCCTCTACTGCTATACCTCCCAGAAAAGACTGTAGACCACTGACTACAGCATTTAAAGTCATTTCAAAACAATAAAGAAATGTTGATTTACAATTTAAATGCTCTGCTCCATTTCTTTCCTAACTGCTTATCAACCAAGAGTCACATAGAGTCAATTAGGTGCCCCAACAAATATCACAACTAAACAGTTTCTGCTGATTTCTCCTGAATCTGCTTAGTATGGACCTCATCCTTCTCTTAATGGTTATGAAAGCAGAACACAAAGTGCTTGTAAAATGCCTGCAGGCTGAATCACATTACTTGGCCTGCTTCTTACACCTCTGGGTTTTTTTTTTCTTTTCTTTTCTTCAAAAATTTGGGTAAGCATCCAGTATTTCTGCAAGATTCGATTGCTCTGCTAATAGTACATTCACCATTTACAGACTGCTCTTGCTAACCTAGTATCCACCCAAGCTACTACTGCTTGCTTCACATCTCTTCCAGATGTGCTCTTGCCACAAACTGTTCAGAGAGTTCAGGGGTCATTTGGCTTCTTTCCACAAAAAGTAAATTTCTCCTTTCTCTCAAAATTTCTGCAGGTCTTCTGTTTTGTCTTATTTGGTTTGACTGCTTGGATCACAAAATTGTCATGATACTGTCAACCTCTGGAGTCTGTTTTTATTCATATTTATTTCTTTCACTAACCATATCTCAAACCTATTCTTATTCTTTTAGTGATATCCTCACTCTCAGTTGCACTCTGTACTAAAAGGTATACTGACATTTTAAGACACTTAAAATTACTAGTTAGGCTCAAAGAAATCTTTAGATTACCAATATTATAATCATGATTTTACACTTCTGTATTACTCTTTGTTTCTCTCTGTTTTTTCAAGGTTACAGTACAAGCAGACCATGATTTAAAAGTTGTCTCTGTCATTAGATATTTCTTTTGCAAATGCTGTTTTTCACGTAAGCATATATCTTTAAACCAGTTTTATGAAATCAACATATTCATGTTATGAAATACAGAAAAGACCTGCTTTAAAATGAGTTCTCCTACTTCTTGTAACATTTGAACGATCAAATGCAGTTCCGTTATCTCAAACACTTGCTGATAACTTGCTGATAATAATTCTCTTTTAACCACCTTGCACTGACAAGTAACAACCGTCAAAACACTATATGCTTAAAAAAAACAGCACTATATGCTCAGAAAACATAGATTCCTGAGCTTAATTCTCTTTAAAAACTATTTTAAGACCTGCATTTTGACAGCCATATTAAGACCCAAATACTTGGGATACACTTTAAAAGAAGAAGCATTACGATGCATTTGCAGTGCATTACAGTTGAGGCTCATTTCCAATAGTAAATCTACCCACAAAACCTAATAAAAATTATACGCAAAAATATTATACCAGCACCTACTATCTTAGGTTTAGTTAACAGCACGTTAGTTCCTCCATTAGTAACACTCCTTTTTTATGAGTTCTTAACTTTCTGCACAATTTAAAGCTCATTCACAAACTGTAATGATCCCCAAGCAGCCATTCCAGCTGTCAGAGAAATAAGCACTGTTAAACACACTACACACGTATTTACAGAGCAGAACTAAAAAGACTAAAGTAGTCGTTACAATCCATTCAGTAAACTTCCCGAAAACAAAAGTTTCTTACTATTGAAGAACTACTTGATTCATAAAACTGAAATATGCATATATATTTTAGTTTCATGTCCTAATAACTGTCTTTCCAGTCTCTCCAAACAATAAAGAACAGTAGGAAAGCTGGGATAAACACCATGATGCACGGAACTGCACATTTTCTATATGACTTCATGGATTTGGACTGTTTCATTATCCCTTACTGTGATATCAAGGTGATAATGTAATATTCTAGCCTCAAGAAATTAGGCTGTCTTCATACAAACAAGTCACAATTTCAGCTCGATCCATGCACAGATGATAGCAAATTAGCTCCATATCACAATTACATTTTCATGTATGACTATGACATTTATCCACCGGCATAATGACGAGAAGTTCAACATGAGCAAAATCAAATATTATTATCATTGGCAAGGAATGGTAAATGTGAGCTAGCAGCAGAATTGAAAACACTGTCTCAAAATCTCTTGTAAGGGAATAGCCTTTGCCAAGAAAAATGTCACAGGCCGGAACGCAGTTCAAAACTTTGGTTTAATTATTGGAACAAAAACATTTATTTTAGTTTATTCTGCTTTATCATAAGAGACAAAAAATACACATTTGGATATTTTATCCTTCTACTATGCCAGTTAATAAAACAAAAGGGTTTCATATGATATTTATGTTGTAAATCCATGTCCAGAAATATCTAGAGCTACTCAATAAAATAACTATCTAAAAATGTTTGAATAAGTAATTTTTGGAACAGAACTACACCTTTGTTTAAAACTAGCTTCAGAAACCTTGGAACTATTAAGCAGCTCAAAGTCCAAATCTGTCCTTCAGTGAAATCATAGAAGGCCACAGAGAGTCAACCTTCGCTGGGAAGGTACAGGAGGGTAAAATATGACACTGTAAGAACTAATTTTATTTATTTATTTTTTCAATTCCAAATCTTATGCTTAGCACATGATGAGATAGACTCTCTTCAAAGTCTTCCAAAAGGCCTAGTCTGTGTGATGCTTCACAGTGCCTCATACAAGTGAGGCTTCCTTAGAAACCATCATTAATGATTCAGGATGCAATAAACATATTACATATTACTTTAACATATAACAATAATAACAAATATAAGCAGAGTTATAGTGTATGTGTCAATAAAAATGGGATTAAAATTAAGAAATGCTGAAGAGACTTTGTACAAACCTAAATCAGTTAATGTTTTCTCATTTACAACATGCAGAGAGAACTTTGATTTTATACAAAGTAATAATTGACATTAAAAAATGACTTTAAAATAGGATGCTTTTTGAATGGTACTTTATAAGCATAAGTCTCTCAAGTACCTTTACAACCAGTGCCTTCGAAAAGTTCATTATGATCAGCTTCTTGACCAAGGCAAAGCCACGCTTACTCAAATATTTGCATTTTTACCTGGATAAGGACTGTGTGGCATAAAATTCCACAGTGCTAATGCACTACTAAATCATGAAGTAAAACATACAGCTGAAACAAATGAGTACTGAAAACGTTTTAAGATTTTGAAGAGTTGTTTAAATTTTGAGGATTTATTCTGAAAATATTTTGCCTCATTTTGACAGTTTTTATCACAAAGCTTAAGCAAGATAGAGAAATTTTCCATTCTATAACAGCAAATGGCATAACGTTTTTAGAGGATGTTCTTTTTCAATTTCAGATCCCAGTGCATACTGCAGCATGAACATTAGGGTCACCTCTTTAATGGCACACTAAAAGTGTTAGATAGAATATCAATAATCCTTATTAAAATAATGCTACGGTAGACAATGATTTTTATTTTATAACCTGGCAAAAATTAAGAAAAGTTATATAAGGTTCAGTTAAATTTTATAAACTAACCTCTTAAAGAGGATAGCAATTTTGAGAATCTTTCAGTATATTACTCTGTTCTCTTTACAAATTGCTCATATAGTGCAAAGCATAATTCAGTTGAGCATAATGAGGTGATTAACAGTTTGTCTTTTAATTTTGATACCAGGAAAATAAGAAGAGCTTGCTTTAATTTAAGTGATTTGGCAGCAATATAATAGCCCAAGCACTTGGCATTACCATACTAATTGATCTAATAGTCTTTTTCATTATCCACTATGGCCCTACACATTTGTATTACAGGAAAGCCAGGAGCTGTGACAAATGGTCAGCTCCACATCTCCAGATCTGTAAGAGATCAAAAGGGGTCAAATACTCTGTGAGTAGAGAAAATAAAAAATCCGGGAAGGCAAAAGACCCCAGTGGAGGAAATAATTTGACTTCCTAACTTTCATATGATAGGTCAAGAGGCATTTCAGGTCAGTTTTATTAATAGAAGGTAGTTGAGTGGGAAGAAGTAAATGATGATCCAGAGCTAATTAGCACAGCTATTTTCTCTCCATATTCTACACAAGGAAATGAAGACCATAGAAAAGGCTGACTTTTTTATTTTTTATTTTTTTTTCATCAGTGATGGAATTTGGCTGAGGACAAAAGGATATTTGCAAAAGCTTAGCAGTTTTTTCCGACAAACTTGGCCTCTATGAGGAAAGGCAAAAATAAATACAGAAATCAATAATAACTCAAATTTGTATTAAAAAACCAATATGGTCACTGCCAAATAACATTTATATTAGTTATTTGTGAAAGATGTTTTATATTATAAATGATATTTCCTTTTACAGAAGCCTACTCTGCTTCATTCTTAATGCATTTTTTCATATCAGCAGAGGTTTCTGTGCATCTCTCTCTCATGAATACATAGATCCCCGTATATACCAACTGGGAAAATCACAGACAAAGATTGTGATATGAAACAAGTACGTGATTAACCCACTAAAGCATTTTGGGACCTAGCATTGAAGTCTACAAAAACAAATCTGAGTCTTTTTAATTGACAGTTCTTCAAAACTGGATCACACTTAGATATTTTAGATGATCTCAGGAAGTAACTAGTTTGGCTGGAAGCCAAATTTGCTCTACGCTGCTGAAGTTACTCTAACTTCATCCATTTTTCAAAACTTAGGAATAGTTCCTGTGCAGGAAACCCTATCCTTACCATCTCAAACTCATATTTGCTCAATTCTGAGTATTCAGATGCAATAGATATCATTTGGAGTCACAACCATTCACAGTCATGAAAAATCGATGCTAAGATTCATGTGTGTGACGGAGACACTCCAAATCAAAGCTATTGATGCATGTTTTAATGAGGCTTATTGGATGTTCACTTTGTCTACAAGTAGGAGTATTGCAAGAGATGTCTATACATTACCGTGTAATTAAGCAGCAGTCATGAATGATGCTATCCTCCACAAATACGCCACTCTCCTCATTTGTTTCAATAAGACGACCGCCATGGTACCAATGTACTTGGGTTGTGTTGTCAACATACGTTGCAGTACACTGGAAAGGCAATCGGTCTCCATGAAAAACCACTTGTCTCTGTGATGGGATCAGCTCAAAAAGAGGCAGTTCCAAAGGTCCAGCTGCAGGGCAAAATAAAACCACCAAAAAAAAAAAAAAATAAGAATAGCAAACTAACTATCTGCAATACACCTTTTAAAATTAACTTTCTTCTAAATTGACATCATACAATACAAATATAAAACACAGTAATATCAAAGACAATGAACTCCACAATATGACTTTTTTTCTAGTAAAGGTCAAAGATTTGCGCGCAGAATAAAGCACACAATCAAGCAGCAGATCTCCATTATTTTCATGAAACAGAAAAGAAAAAAAAAAAAAGGCTAACCACCATTAGCTACATGCTAGATGCCAGGTGAACTTCACACCCATCAGGCAGAGAATAGATTTCTTTTGACTTCTCCAGCAGATAGATTTGAATCATTTAATTCACTGAATGGTGTGAGCTCTAGACTGCTTCTGAGCTTCCTTTAACTTAAGGAGATGGCTGCTTAAAAAAACCCTTCTAAGTCTATCATCTTCTTAAGGAACAGTGAGCTAAAGCTCAAATAAATGTACAGAGCTCAAATAAATATCACAGAGATATTATAAAGCAAGCAAACAAACAAACAAACAAGAATTTCCAGGCAAAAAAGAAAAAAATCCCCTTGTAAGTACAATATAAAATCTCTAAGACCATTTCACTGTTTGGTGAATGCAATTTCCACTGCATTTTAGACTGAAATTCATTCACTCAAAAAAAGCCCAAACTATCTCATATGCTTGGGGTGGGGACACTGGTAAGGTTAATAACAGAAGTTAAACTGAATCTCAACTTGCCCTCAAGCTAATAATAATAATAATAATAATAATAATATATAATAAAGACTTGCTTTTATCACTGATAAGCATGTACTACATGTACTTCTTGCACAATAATTTCTAAAATACAACCTTTTCATCCCTGCCTACAATGCCAAAACAATTGACTGAGCCTTGATCATGTTACACTTTACACTGGATCACTTCATATCTGTAATCTTATCCTCAAAACAAAATAAAAAAGGCCTGCAGTCCTGCCCCTTGGAAATCCTCTCAACTTGATGTGTAAAGAAAAATTCTAAGCTAGATCTTTTTTCCTCTTATTCTTCTCCTGTCATTTAAAGCCCTCTCACCATTACTATCAATCCAGCCTACAGGTTGTCAGTTGAAAGGTCACCCTTCCAAATTTGCACCACTAGTGCCCATCTCAAACATCTATTTTTCTGACAACTATTTTAACATTTTTTCCATATCACTGCTCACCATTTAATCTTCCTTGAAGTTTCCCCTCAGAAGCCTCCTTTGCCCATAATAAATACAGATGAACGTAACCCAGCCTAACCAGACTGCGAGCCATAATCACTGGTTCTAGAATTGCTAAAATTTGTGGACAACCAATAGTGTCTGCTCCTCTCCTTACTCAGCATCCAACCCTAACACGTGTCTTTATGTCATTTAGATGTTGTCCTTGGAACTGTTAAATTGCATTTATAAAGCTGGCTTTGGGACTTTGATGCCATTGGGTAATTTATATAATACACATACATTTAGCAGAAATGCTGGCCAGCTTACAGGGAGGATTTGTGTATGAGTGAATGTGTAGTAATGCTCTCTGGGGAGTAACACAGAGAGGTTTAAGGCAACATCCAGCACTGCCCACTGCTGTGGTCTGCTGAGACTACAAAGGATTGGCTTCAGCTAGCCCTCCTTATAAGTGTCACTTGTCTACTGCTTACCCTGTTGTTTCAGGACCTGAATGGACTAATAAAAACTCCTTGAAATAGAATTATTATTTGTATATAATCTTTAAATCACATCTAAATAAAGAGAAAGCAAACCAGACAGATGCACGATTGACCTCATCATAAAGATGGAGAGAAAATCTCCCTATCTCTGCATAAAGGAGTGCAATTTCTGTGTTGCATAAAGAAGGCAATTATGTAATATAGGCCGGCATAAGTTATGGTGTGGAATTCAGCCAAAAATTAACTGAATGATCTGTTTTCCTGGCCAAATTCAAATCGCTCTGACCAAAAGCCATGAAATGAAGTCCAGAAAAATTAAACTTACTGTCACAACCACAGCAGCAACATATGGTAACAGCAGAAATCTTATAATTTTCATGAATACTGTTACTTCTAACTGAAGATACTGTACCTTGTCAAATACATTATTTTGCCCATGCAACGAGTGACACTGTCATGAAGACATAAAGTAGTTGTGTGTGAAATAGAATATCAGTATTTCTTAAACTAAATAACTTGTTTGGTATTTGAATGTTGCGTAAGAATCTCAAACTGAATTTATCTCTTTGCAGTTGGACTCGGAGGTTCTTCAGCTATCACTAGTCATTCAGTCTTGGGAATCAAACCAAACCCAGAAATGGAGTAACAATTAAGTGGTCTGAGCAGATTTCTAAGTTAATAACGAGAAGCAAGTGATTTTTTTTTTTTTTTTTTTTAAAGTGGAAGATACCATAAAAGAGAAAATGAACTTTTGATTGACATCAGCATACCAGCAATCTGTTTTATTTTTCTTTACAAGTCTGTCTTAAGTGCCCACAAAGATGGCAAGTAAATGAAACATATTATTGACTTACCACTAGACTACGATACCCTTCTGAGCAACTGAACTCTTTCAGAATGAATACATTTAGCTTCACCAAATTGGCAAAATAATCCTGCAAACTCATTTTCAAAGTGAAACTAGTATATTTTTGAAGGACTATACTCTTTTCAGAGCTTGAAAGGTGCATTTAAGCACTGCTACAAAACATCTGCTTTTAATGTGTGTGATGTCTATGAAATAATGATTACCAGAGTTAATCTTCAGTTGTTTACCAGTGATAATCATGATTTAAATGACTTAGCCTGATTCTGCAACAATTATTCATGCAAAAGTCCCAGCTGACTTCAGTGACACAGCTCAGAGATACAGGGATTAATTACATAAATAAGAGCTTCAGGATTAGGGCCAATATCCTTTATCCTGAATGGCTATAAAATGATCGCATAGTTCTATCAGCATCAGTTGAAAATGCTTATCTTAAATCCACAATCCAACAATCCTTCAAATTCAAAATAAAAGTATTAATTCTCAACTCACATTTTCAAGCCTGAAATTGAGAATAAAGTTAAAAGTAGGAAAAATAGGAAAAAAAGAGATTCTGAAAGTATTTTAAATGATTTAGCATTGATTTCACAGCACCTGAAATATAGCAGCTCTGACAATATGCTTACACAAAAGAAACTTAAAAATTAATCAACGTATGATCACTATGATCATTGAAGCCCAAACCAATATATAAGATCTGATACTCATATATGCATATAACAACGCTGCATGCAAAAGTCACAATGTTAGTAGTTATCTTAATAATACAGCTGCCTCATAAGATTAAAAATAACTTACAGTCTACTCCCATCTCTTGAGATGGGTATTATTTTTGAAGTTGAAATATATTCCAAGATTCCCAAGCCAATACATTCTACAGCCCTCAAATTCGGAGTCACTACCACCATCTGCAAACGAGAGGTGTGAATCTCCTATAGACATTTAGATTAAGGGCTGCTCAAGGATTTTACAGTCATTACCTGTCTTTCTCTAGTCAGCACTAAACCATGATTGCAGCAGAGCACCACAGGAATCACTGATTGCAGAATGAATCTAAAGGTCTAACCCATCATTACAATAATTACATCTTTTTCTTTATCTCTTCACTTCTCAGCAGAAAAGAGTTTTGTTGACTGAAGGCCAGATTCTTTATGTTATCCCATCATGTATTTCAGATTAGCTCTATACTAGAATACCAAGCACAGATGGAAGAGGAATCAGGTTACAAAAAAACACTGAATTAGAATGTCACTTAAGAATACTTCCCACAGAAAGTACATCCATGAGCCGCCTGCACTGACCCAAGATGTATATACAATTGAAAGAGATAAAGAAGTGGTTTTAATAATCATTAGCTAAAATATGAAAAACAGCAAGATACACTGATGCTCTATCAATATGTTCCAATGTGTCGGTCCTAAGTAAATGTGTTAGCTTTAAAAAATAATCAATCACACACACACTTCAAATACCTTCTGCCTCTTTCCGTATACTTCACCTCTAAAGCTTTAGAAACAGTTCTGTTTTTCATCACATTTTCAGTTTATTGTTTTAAGAGACAGAAAGGACAAGAATGTGAAAGAAATTCTATACCTGGGCATACATGAAAGATGAGAGAGTCTGTAAAAGAAGTCACTTAAAATGCACCTCTGCCCTATATTTCAGTTGTATTTTAAATAGAAACTTTTATACGTGATCACACTTGAAAGAATGCACTTGCAATGAAGAGACATGACTATTTTCTGGATGAGTGATGAAAAGCAAAAGAGTAAGCACAACAGACAGCACATGCTTTAGACAGAGAGAGCTTTTCTCAATAACAGCAGCAAGTTGGCCAGTCATTGGCAACAAGTTGGTTGCATTTTCGCTGACACAAACTACAAATAGGCTGAGCAGCATTTCTCTCTGCATTATACAAGCTAGTAAATGCATAATCCAGGTTACTGCACTAGTGCACACTCTGCTGCTCAGTTTACCATCAAGCATTGCCCACCTTTCTGTAATCCATCTTCTGGGTGCTATTTCCTGGTTTTGTCCGATATCAGCATCTGCCCTACAACCATAAAGTGAAAAATCCATGCTTTTCTTCAGGTTGTGCATATGTCAGTGCAATTTTGCAGTGCTCATGTCTCAGTTTACACCATTGACTTCGGCATCTCTCTTGGGAGAATATGCAGTTGTTACCGAGTAACACCAGCTTTAGGGACATAAAAAACCAGAGGTTGGCATTTTGCTTCTTGTTAATCACTTGATTTATTGTATTGCCAATGGGCTTTTTATTTGAACGGAGTGTGCCCACTGAGTGCGGCACATCCTGCTGACAAAAGTGTGAGTTAGAGATCTAATATTTGTATACAATCTCAGTGGGATAGAAATGTGCATGGAAAGCGCAGCAAGGGGAAGTTGGAAGTGAGGACAAAGTAAA